TGCCTTTCCTCCGAGATGGAATAGAATTAGCTTGTGCATTCAGGGTAGATCCCTTGAGAAGCAACCACTCTTCCTGAACTACCCTCCCCCTGGGGTTGTGGTCCCTTAGGGCCTCGCTGACAAGCTCCCTGAGCTTGTCAAAGTCAGCTTTCCTGAAGTCAAGGACTTCTGTGTTGCTGACTGACTTGCCAGCTTTACGGCAGATGGTGAAGGTGATCAGCTCGTGGTCGCTGTCACCCAGCCTCCTGTTGATCACTAGGTCACCGATTAGGTAATCCCCAGTTGCCAGTACCAGATCGAGCAGCGCTTTACCTCTCATCGGCCCATAGACTTCTTGAGTCAGGTAGAGGTCATCCACGCACGAGAGGAAGCTTTGTGACTGCTCAGATTTTGCTGAGTGATCCTCCCACAAGATGTCCGGGTAATTGAAGTCACCCATGACAAGCATGGTCCTGGAGCATGCGGCCTCAGCCGGTTCCCGGGCGAACTCCTGGTCAAGCTCTAGACTTTGGGTGGGAGGTCTGTAGTAGACTCCCACCATTGTGTCCCCTGTGCTGTGTTCCCCACGGATTTTAACCCAGAGGGTCTCCAGTCATCCACCCTGGTCACCAATATCAGCTTGCAGGGAAGTGTAGCTTTCCTTAACATAGAGAGCTACACCCCAGATCCGTTTATCTACACGATCCCTCATGTACAGGGTATAGCCATCTATACCTGTTGTCCAGTCATGGGTGGAGTCCCACTAGGTCCCCGTTATCCCTATGACATCATAATTATTTGCATTAAGCTCCTCCTGTTTATTCCCCAAGCTCCTGGCATTTGTGTACAGGCAGACAAGTGTTCCCTTGGGGGCTCTTGCTTTACCCACAGATTGTACCAGGGCTGGAGCAGGGGTGGGCTCCCTTAAGTGCCTTGGCCTGCTGGGTTTGCAAGGGTTGTTCAGTGGGCCAGCAGTGGCGGTAGTCTCACCATCCCCCAGCGGGCTTAGTTTAAAGCCCGGTGGACCAGGTCAGCCAGTCTTGCTGAGAAGCGCCTCCTCCCCAGCAGAGAGAGGTGGAGGCCATCTTTTCCCAGCAGCTTGCTGCCTCTCTCGCCAGAGTGGGCTGTGGTCATGAAAGCCAAAGCCTTCCCAATGACACCAGCGCCACAGTCTTTGGTTAACTACGTGGATCCTCCTCTTCCTCCTCAGCCCATAGCCCGAGACTGGGAGGATCAACGAGAACACCACCTGTGCCCCCAGACCCTTTAGCCCTGCTCCCAAATCCCTGTAGCGCCTCATGACCC